TATATATATATATATATATATATATATATATATATATATATATATATATATATATATATATATAAAAACCCTGTTCCTTCACAGAAAATGGATCAGTTATGTACGGGAACCAGCAGGCGCCCTTCACATATGGCAGCAATCTGTCCAACCCATCACAACGCATGTTTTCACTGCCGCAGAACCTGCACCCATATGACTCGTCCTTTTCTAATCCTGGATATGGCAAGCCTGCCATGTCACCCTCACCCTACACGGATTTCCGGTTCAATCTGCCGGTTGGTGAAGACAAACATGAATTTCTGGTCAGATTTAATCTTGAGGTTGCCCGTTTTCTGACTTGTTCTTTTCTTCTTTTTTTTCCCGAAGATGAGGATTCTCAGGCCGGAGACCCGGGAATCCTTAGATGTCTAGGATCAGCATTGATTGATGAAGAAACTCCTACGTGATTCTGTTTACCTGCAAAATTAGAAAGATCTGAATGTTTTTTTATTTATGTGTCTCTGTGGGTGTTTAGATGGTAGATTTTAGATGTTTCTTCTATAAACTCTTGTTTAGAGTTAAGTCTTTGTTGTTGTTGTTGAAAAGATGATAGATATTTAAGCTCCCATACCTGAAATCCCAAACTTATTTAACCTGTACATCTCAAAACTGAATTAATTGGTTTTTGTACCTTGGCAAAGGAAATCTCACCAAAAAAAATTGTTACTACAGAAACTGGAACATGTTTGACTAATCAGCCAGTTTAATGCTAACAAAGCCTTTGAACAAAGCAAGCATCTGATCAGACAAAAGCAACAAATCACTGAAGATCTTGGAACTTGTTTCCAGTCTGCAGACCCGTTCTAATACAGATACACACAATATCACAGATGTGTGATATTGTGTGCAGCCAATGTTAGAAAAAGCACACTACTAAGTATTATTTCAGAAGATGAGAATGAATAAGGTTCTTATGCTTTATGATGTATATTAAACTGTATATGTTCACTTATTTAATGAGCAAAGTTCATTCAGAATCAGTGTTGATGTGTTGGACCCACACCACAGGGTGCTGTGAACGTCCTCCATATAATTAGGTTGTTAACAGGATCCTGGGTTTGTCCTTTAGTCCCAAGTTATTCTTTATTATGTTTAGATCAGCCTTTTACCTGTTTTACTTTAGTTCGGTCTGTTCTTAGTTATTTTACCCAAATGGTGTTATTAATTTATTGTGCTTAGTTATTCTTTGTCTCACTGAGATTCATATTTTAAAGCTCCACTATTTGTGTTTTCCTCCTCTGTGCCATTTCCCTCACAGTTGCAGTCAGTCACCAAACTCTCCCAATATTTAACCACTGCTCTTTCTTCCAGGACTTGTTCATACACAGCCAGATGTCTGATAAACTCAATAGACTTTTATGCGATTTGACCTTGCATTAACATGTAACTTACATTTAATATCACAAAAACTGTTAATAAAACCTCAAAAGTGAAGACTTTTTTGCGTTTGCTTGTGCCTGAGATTTAGAAGTAAACGCATGACAGTCTGACTGCAACACATAATGCAACGCTGACGTCACTTTGTTAATGTTTGGCCATGCAGTGGAGGAAAGATGGCTGCTATCAGAAAGTTCAGACACTTTCTACTTGTTTATCAGTCCATCTGCTCCAATACATTAAGTTGCAAAGGACAGAGTGCTCAAAGGTCAACTGTTTTACACTAGCTGTCCCTCCCAATATGGACGCAAAATGACCTTCGACCTTCAACCTCCACGTTTCCACATCATGTGTCTACACATGGGCACATACGCACTTTAACCGTATAATAACACTTTATTACAAAGCTAATAAAGGGTTTTATTAACAACACTTTATTTAAAAGTTGTTCAACCTCTTGTTGTGTGTTGTATGCATTGTTGTGTGCTTCACAGATTTATTTCTGTCCACAGAAGTAAATCTCCTGGTACCATGTTTAAACCATGTCTTGGCTTATAGCCTTCATTCAAATATTTATGTCTTAACCTGTTGTTCACAGGTTGTCATTCACAATGACAGGGGTGTCAAACTCCAGTCCTCAAGGGCCGCTGTCCTGCAGTGTTTAGATGTGCCACAGGTAAAAAACAGTGGAATGAAATGGCTTAATTACCTCCTCCCTGTGTAGATCGGTTCTCCTGAGCCTTGCTAATGACCTAATTATTCTTTTCAGGTGTGGTGCAGCAAAGGCACATCTAAAAGTTGCAGGACAGCGGCCCTTGAGGACTGGAGTTTGACACCTCTGTCACGAGAGGACCCAAATTTGGGTCCTCTCGTGACAGGACCAAATTTGGGTCCTCTCGTGACAGACAGGTTAAAACAAAACAAAAAATAGCTGAAAAAAAAAGAAACATACATACACAGACTGACCAATCAGCATCCAAGCTTGTCTGACTGGCTGAAACCCATCAGAATGTTTAACTTCATTCCCAAAGTGAAACAGGAAATGAAATAGACAAAGAAACAACCAATCACTGAAAAAATATTAAATCCACAGCAAAAGAAAAAACAATTATGACAACATTTAACATCACCATTGACAGACTGGCAGTCAGACAGCTGACCAAAGGAACTGCAGGTAAAACACCAGACAGAGATACTAACTGTTACCCAGCTGCTTGTACCCAGATCTACTTTCTTGTCGAAATGGAAAGTGATTAATACAATTCAATAGATCGCCTCTTCTGAATAAATACCCTAGCTCATATAGGATTATCAAATGCTTTTTAAATTCGTACATTTTTATATGTTTTGGGCTTTCTGATAAGCATTTCTTATGAATACTTTTAGCAATAAATTGACAATAATCAGATTTCTGCTTGTTCTCGATTTATTACTAGAAATTAGCAACAACAAAAAAAACACCTCCAAATTCATTTTTTAGTTTCAGTTTTAATGTGAACATTCTGTCCTGCATTTTAAAGTGCTCCTTATCACACCGCATTTATGCATGCGTTGTTGTGACAGAGTACATTTCTCTGCAGAGTCGGAGCGGAGCAGACATGCTGCAGCAGCTGAATCTGGGTTTCACTTTTTTTGGTTTCTTCCCCAACTCAAATACAGCATTGAAGCCCAGCAATGTGAACACAGCGTGGCAAGAACTGTGAACATTTGGAAGTCGAAAACTTCACGTAAAAATAATTGTGAAGTGAAACCATGTGGCTGTGTTGATGTCGGTGAGCACAGGCTGTGTAAGTGGTGCAAATTACAGCATCTTAAAGTGGATGTGAAGTGGAGCAACAGGGAGGCTAAGCAAAAAGCGGATTGATGTATTATGCCAAGACAGTGTTGCTGCAGTAGCATTTAGATAATAGATCTGGCTCAGCAGCACACAGTATTCTGTGTGCCATTAGAGATTAGCCTGAGAGAGCTGTTTCACTGCCTGCTGGATGCAGACCAACAGAAGCACTTAACTCTGTGTATCTCATTTGTACACTAACAGAACAGCATATATTCTCTAAATGTTTGCCGATGCAATGAAACAGAAAAAGTGTAAACTGGTATAGTAGTATAGTTATAAGTTAGTAATAGTCAAGTATTTATTCTCTATCAGTGCAATCTTCTCTACCCCTTTGTTGGATTTCTCAGTAATAGTGACCCTTTTCTATTAGACTTCTTTCTAGTGTTTTTCTTCTTTAACATTAGTTCTGTACTAGTGGAGCCATTTACTTGCATATTTTACTTACCTAGAATTGCCAAACCTATCAGGGATTTATCTAATCAAATCAAATTGTATTTGTCTAGAACATTTCAACAGCAAGGCAGTTCACAGTGCTTCACATCATAAAAGCACAAAAATCAAAACAACTGAAACAGTGCATTTTTCCAGGTGCTGTATTTACACATCAAAATGTTGGCTAGTGTTTCACTCATTATGGTTCAAAATTAACTCTAACCAGGTGGGTTTTTAGTCTAGATTTAAAAGAACTCAGTGTTTCGGCTGCTTTACAATTTTCCTAAAGTTTGTTCCAGATTTGTGGTGCATAGAAGCTGAATGCTGCTTCTCTATGTTTGGTTCTGATTCTGGAGATGCAGAATCAGAAGCAGATTTAAATTTAAATACCAATATGACTGACGGGGCTTCCAGGCACATTATGCAAAACAATGGCACTATCAAGAAACTATGTTGCCTTCAGTTGTTAGAAAAATAACAACTATATACACATAAACATATATATAAAATATGGAAGAAATATGACTTGGAATTGGGCCTCTGTCTCTTTAAAAACTCCTGCTCTCTCTGAAATCGCCTTCAGGAAATCATCGCAACATAGTTCCTCTATTAAAACCCTTTAACCTTTAACACTGTTCTCATGAGAGTTTCACTGAAAATTAACTGATAGCTCAGCAGCTCAACAGATGCACAGTTACACCACGTTTGCTAACTGCTGCTGGCTAGTCTGAAGGAGCTGAGTGAGGGACCCACAGGTGGGAGCTGCTCTGTGAGGCAAAAGATTGGAGGCTTAGAAACTGCAGCTCCAAGGAGGAGCTACGTCTCCATGGCGCTCGGTTCCCACAGGTGATTTGCACAGCTGGTTGGCATGGAGATTAAAGGATTTCTCAAACATGCATGAAAGAATCAAAGCAACACTCCGGGTTTGTTGTTGATGAGGGAATAACGTTATAACATGCTGTAAAGCTAAAAAATTTCAATTTTACGACTTTAAGTGTTTCCCAGAGCAAACATGAGTTTATCTCATTTATCAGACTGGTTTGCAGTTAGCAACTAATTATTTGGTTTGTAATACAGTTGCCATATGATTTAAAAAAAACAACAACAAAAAAAAAAACTGAGTCGAACCTCCAGAAATGAAAATATATTTATTTCACTTTGACACAAATAGTCATAAGTTATTTTAACTATGGGTAGTTGTTTTATTCAAAAGAGAAGTTAGATTTCTCTTTTGAAAAGAGAATGCTTCTGATTACAAGCATCACATTGATGCTTGTAATCAGAAAAGACAACTGCTAAACAGTTGCTAAGAAGAAGTGAATGGATTGCAGCCTAGATTAGTGAATCTCACTGAACAGCATCTGCAGTTCCAGACCACACTGTATTGATCAGGTAATAAATAACTTGGGCGTCGGCCTCGACTCTTTAATTCCCTAAAAGCTGTCCACTAGTGGATTTGGTTGGATTCTGTAATTGTAAAGGAAAAAGGAGAAGAAACAAAGAAAATCAGATACATTTGATATAAAGGTGGAGGAACCGCATACAGGTAAGCAGAATCAGATTTAGGGGTCAGCCAACACAGCACTGCTGACCTCTGTCTCATATTGTCCTTGTTTGATCAGTCTTATGTTCTGTTGTTAACACCGGTCGTTGTACAGTTAATTAGGAAATTAAAAATACATTAATCTAAACGTAGGACAAATGTTGTTTAGCTTATTATTGCATCTGTTACTTCACATTATTTTTTTTTTTTTTAGGTTTTACACCAAGTTTTAAAAGCTAAAATTGAAGTTTATGTTTTTACTTGTCAACATGTCTGAGCCGTAACCTCAGTCTACTGAGTCTACCTGATTAAAGGTTTGAAGTGTTACTCTGGGGGCTGTGGAGAAGGTTAAAGCAGGACATAAAAGATGTCCCAAGCTTCGAACATCTCGCACAGCTCCGTTCAATTCGTCATCTGGAAACTGAAACAGTATGGCCCAACTGTAAACTCACCAAGGCAAAGCTAAACCACCTGGAGACTGGGGCGGAGGTTCAGCTTCCAGCAGGACAACAAGGCTACAGTGGAATGGTTTAAAACGAAACATAGCCACAGTCCAGACCTGAACCCAGAGAGTTTCTTCACAAACATTATATGTGCAATGCTGTGGGAGACAAACCCTAAAAAACTATCAGCTGTAACAGCAGCAACAGTGGTTCCACCAGGTATTGACTCAGAGGAGGCCGAGTGCTGTTGCTCACTCCTTCACAACTGTATATTGATTTGAGTCAGTCTTTCACATAAAACTCAAAAGAAATATATTTTTGTTTGTGGTTGTAATGTGATAAAATATGGAAAGTTTCAAAGGGTATGAATACTTTTGCGAGAAGCTGTAGATGAACAACAGAACTCTGTGGGAACCTGAAGCCCCAAAAAAAGATAGAAAAGTCAACAGACAAATACAACAACTCAGATTCCTGACACACACACACACACACACACACACACGCACACACACACACACACACTCACACGCATGCATGTACACACAGACCCACACACACATGCGCACACAAACACACACAGTCTGTGTAACTTTAAACCTTTGCATGATATGTTTATAGGAGAGTGGGGAAGACAAATGTCCCCAGTGCCAATAAAAGCCAACAGTTGTCCCTTCAGGCTTGGCAGAGGCTTTGATTGTAAGAATGTGTGAGTGTGTTCTTGATTTTTTTTTTTAAGTTCTTTGAGATAAACTTGTGAGCAGAGGACCTCTTGTACATGTTTGAAATATGTATAAATTGCCTTCCTAGTTAAACAATTTGGAAAGCACATGACTTTGAAATAACTAACAAAAATCATCAACAGTGAAAAGATACTTGAGCATCAGGTCCTTTAAACATGTGGCAGGACTTCTTAATATAGATGTTTAGCTTAAAGCTACATTATGTAACTTTTATAAATAATATGTTTTTTAAATATTTGTTAAAACTGTCATTGGGTTGGCTGCACAGTGGCGCAGTTGGTAGAGCTGTTGCCTTGCAGCAAGAAGGTCCTGGGCTCGATTTCCGGCCCTGGTCTTTCTGCATGGAGTTTGCATGTTCTCCCTGTGCATGTGTGGGTTTTCTCCAGGTACTCCTGTTTCCTCCCACAGTCCAAAAAAACATGACTGTCAGGTTAATTGGCCTCTGCAAATTGCCCCTAGGTGTGAGTGTGTGTATGCATGGTTGTTTGTCTCTGTGTTGTCTTGCGACAGACTGGCGACCTGTCCAGGGTGACCCCGCCTCTCGCCCGTTTAACTAGGAAGGCTGGAGATAGGCACCAGCAACCCTCCTGACCCCACTAAGGGACAAGGGTGTAAAGAAGGATGGATGTCATCAGGTTGTGTCAGTCTAAGCTATTACTGCCAATGCACCAGAGGCAGGAGGAGGGGCTTAGCACTGTCAGTCAACCTCATGTATTTGGTGCTAAATGTGTTAATGGCAGAGAAACAAGTCACTGCTACAGAAGAACCGTCTGCCATTCATCGGTGGCTACGCTAACTAGCCTTTTACAACAGGATCTGCTGATGGGGAGACACTGTAGCAGCTACACAAGGTTGTGATTGACAGCACTAAGACAACCAATCAGAGCCAATCCTGGCTCTGATTGGTTGTTTCCAGTTAGCATTGGAAAAAGTATCATACCATATTGTCATGACAGTCATAGTGTGATGCAAACCAGATAAACCACTTTAAGACAGATGTACTTGCATCATTTCATCTGAGCCATCATTTTTTTCCCCGAAATGTAACCCAATAATCACTGAAGAAAATGGGTTTACTCAGAGAAAAATTCAGGCCCATTCAGATTTGTGAATTACCATTATATCAACAAACTGAATTGAAACAAAATTAAAACAAGAAACGTTTGGTATGATTTAACTTCAGACAATGAGAGAAAAATCTGCCATTTCACTGGTTGGATGTAAATATCTGGTTTCAACTGAATATAATAAACACAATTGCTCCCAAGAATTTTAGATACGGAGGAAAGATTAGGTAAAGTTCTGTAATGTATTATATCTTCTTGATTGTTAGAAGGTTTCTTAAGTAAAAGTTGTGCAGCTGCCTTCCAAGCTGTGAAACAAATCTGATTGTAACAAGCTTTAAGAGCTGAGAAAACTCAGAAAGCTCAACTGAATCAATACAGTACAATAGGAGGAGTAATAATGACGATGGTGACAAGAGCTCACTGGTGATGAGGACGATGGACAGCAGGGTCAGTGCAGCTGGAGGTTGTTGGCTGACTGGGTAGAATGATGAGTCCTGGAGCTGCGGATGCTGGAGACGGGAGCAGGAACACAGAGTGACCTCTGGAGGGTGGACTGGTTGTTCTCAGGAGGGTGACGCTGAAGAAGTGGAGTAAGTTGAATCCAGAAAATATTGCTGAAGTGAATCTTGGCCACAGACATTTAGGAGGGCTGTCACTGGGGCAACAACAACTCAGAATCAGACCTTATGGCTACACTGTGGTAAAATACAAAATGTAGGGTGGCGCAGTGGGGAAAATGGAAGAACAGACAGCTAGAAAAGGAGTGTTCACACACTTTCACATGTCTGAGCAACCTGTAGGAATGTGAGCAGTTTCCTCTGTTAATGATTATCCAGATCCCAGGGTCTAGAGAAAAAGAGGAAAGTTGATTCATTGATCTTCAATTATGAGGAAATTGACCTGACCAAAACACTGCAGAGAACCTGAAAGAGTCAAAAATACAGATGAGATTAAAGTTAGAGGAATCCGGTTCATAATTCAGCACAGACTGACTGCATCCATCCCAAATGGTACCGATCCAAAAAGATCCTGGACCAATAAACATACATTTATTGGTCCAGGATCTTCTTTCCACATTTCTTTAAACCCACATTTCTTTACTAAAAATCCTTTTTATTGGTCTGATATTTCAGGGTTTTTTTTTTTCCTTTGGTTTTGTTTTGTTTTTTTGCTTTTTTTTGTTTTTTTGACAAAGTTAATTTTGAGTGTGGATTATATTTTAGAAGGCAAATCATAAAAAAATGCCACAAATTAAACGTTTGAAATGCATAATTCATAGAATAAGTAATGAATTGCTTTTTTGTTGTTTTTGTTGTTTTTTACTTGAATCACTGCGGTGTACTGAATTTTCGGTGCAGTATATTGTAATGCACGTTGAGTGTCTTTTTATCTTTACCTCTGTTTATAGATACCTCCTGATGTTCACTTCCTGCGACGATTCGTCTGTTACTGGCTTTTAACTCGTTGCGGGAGAAAATTTGGCACCGAGAATAGCTTGTATTGCTCTCGCGATACAAGCTATCACTATGATGTTTGCATGCAGTATTTATTAGCAGCAGTCTCCCTCTACAGTTCGACTCAGTTGGTAAACGCGTTGCTGCTGTAAGGAGGCATTTTCGACATTTCTTCTTTGACAGCACATCATCCTATATTTAGGAAAACAACTATTAGCAGCAGAGCAGAGGGACGCGGACTGGCAAAGGGAGAAGAAAAATAATTCTCCAACAATCCCTCCGCGCGAGTTTTCCCCGCAGAAGCAGCCGGGTAAGACGTTAGCGTTATGTTTATTGTTTTTTATTTTATTTAATTTTTTTCATCCGTTTAAGATTTTCTATCATTTTCTATAATTTATATCAAACTGACACTGTCATTGGAGAACATCTTTTCAGGGCTCGGTTTGAGTGAGTGCTTTTATCTTTTGACAGTCGCTCGTGTTGAAATAAATACTCCTTCCCTGGCGCATGACACATTTAACAGAACATGTTTTCTCCCTACCTCATTGGTTAATACAAACCCAGTCCGCCGAATCAGTGCAATGTTACACCAGGCTTTTGAGGTGCGTACGTATGTTTTTCTAACCTGGCACGGTGACAGACTGTTCTGTGCTCTGTTTAATGTTGTGGCTGCTCATGAGCAGCACTCGAAAGCTCCATGAATAGGTGGTTCGAGACCGTAAAGCGGAGTACCGCATTTTGGCAAATTAGAGTCAGGGAAATCAGCTTGTTTGCAATGAAATGCAGCTGCTGCGACTTAAAAGAAAAATACAATGAAGCATAATGTGTGTGCTGCTGCTGCCCACAGTTACACAGCTACAGTACACACCTATATTACTGTCTAAACTGTCGTACAGTAATGACGCAAAATGTCCTTTTGCTACAGAGGATGAGGATGGAAGCTTGTGGCTGTAGGAGACAGTTAGGAAAATCGATGCGTGACGCGCCTCTGTGGCGAGACGCTTTTGGCTGTGGAGAACTGTTCTGATCGAATTTCTTTCGACAGTCCTCAGTGCTTTCTCAAATAACTCAGTCTTTGACTGTCTCACAGGAAAAAAAGGTATTTGGGCTGGTTTAGAAGTTTTCACAGTATTGCTATAATATTCATCCTGATATTTTAAATCCTATCTATCTATCTATCTATCTATCTATCTATCTATCTATCTATCTATCTATCTATCTATCTATCTAATGTGTCATACACATAACATTACTGTTAATGTGGCTTGGGTCACATGATATCACCTCCACTGTCCAAAACTAGCTAACAGTCGCTACAAAAAGCTGTATTGGCTGTTTAGTAAAGAATGGTGGAAACGTATAATTAAATTTATTATTGAACATACTGTGTGGTCATAAAAAAGGCAGTAAATTAGAGGTGCACCACAGTCAGGTGACACTCATGACAGCATCAGTATAAGCCTTTGTGGGCAGATGAAAAACTGTGTAATCCAATAGAAAACCTAAAAATCAAACATAATCTCCTCTATTTAGTGAAGGAGAAGTGAAAGTGACTGCTACCCACCCAGCCAATTATGCATAGACCCCCAAAAATATATATGAATAGATAAATGGATAAAGCTTACGTCCTCAAAATATTACACAGAATTGCAGTAATATTTGCAATTCTGTGTTGTTTTTCTTTTATTATTCTTGTGGGTTTGTGACTAGGAAACACCACAAAACTGTACAGCAGTAAAGCAGGGCTGACCAGGTTTTCAGATTAGGAGGTACTTAAAAACGTTAAAGTCAAAATGATCTACTGTTAGACAATGGGATGGCTCTTCTCTAAAATGTTAAGTTAAAATAAAATGTAACTAAAACTAAGCTATTTGTGCTTGATGAAAATAACATAGAATTAGAACACCACCTGGCAGGGATTGAACTCGAGTATCTCACGCTTTAAGCAGATTCACACACCACTCTACATGGAGGCATATCTGACTCCGTCACGCCTTTGCAGTCGACCAGGAGATAGCAGCTGTCCTGATGGGCACCTCTGCTGTCCATCAACAGTTAAAGTGCTACAGCAACATTCCGACACGCCACTGGCATAAAAATGTAGTGCAGCACAAAGCATATGTCCTTGTTGTGCATTATGAGTGACATGCGGGCTAAAAATTTTTTGAGTTAAATGACTGACCGTGGCGAAAAAATATATTAATTCTGAAATTATAAGACGCCTAACTGTGTTCTGATCACCCTCTCTCATTGGAGATTACAGTGGCGTATTAGCTTTACAACATGTACAGGTTTCTCTGCCTGCTCTGACACAGCTGTGGAAAAAAATTAAGAGACCACTGAAAATGATCAGTTTCTCTGATTTGACTTTTAATAGTTATATGTTTGAGTAAAATGAACATTGTTCTGTTATTCTACAAACTACTGACAACATGTCTCAAATTCCAAGCAAAAATTTAGTATTTACTTACAGAAAATGAGAAATGGTCAAACTAACGACAAAGATGCAGCGCTTCCAGACCCCAAATAGTGCAAAGAAAACAAGTTCGTATTAATTTAGAAACGACAATACTAATGTTTTTACTCAGGAAGAGATCAGAAATCAATACTTGGTCAGTATTTAGGTACAGGAGTTTTCTGCAGCCAGAATATAATAAGTGTTTCCACTGGCAATTAACTTTTTTTTTTTACTGATGGTAAAACAGCAGCCTGTAGAAATTAATGAAATGTTTAGGAAGTTAAAAAAAAAATCCTTTTAAACCTCAGAGGGATCCAGTCTGTGTATCTAGTGCTCAAGGACTAGTTCAGTGTATTTACATTATTTCTATGTGGCTTTGATAGTTCAACTTATCTGGCTTGATACCATGGTTATTGTTTTAACAACTTGGTATGCAAACAAACCTAAAGAGTGTTAGTCTTTATGAGATGTGTCACTTAAATGTAGCTACTGCATGATTCTATGTTATTACTAAAGCTGCCTATCTCAGGTTGCAAACTCTCTATGATGGCTCTGTATATGCTAGCAGATCAGATCCCATCTCTTGCAATAATTATAGCACTGCAGTGTTTACTGCATTACACTTGGCTCTCATGGAAGGCTGCTTTGGCGACCTAATTAAGCACAGATATTTTTGGTTGCTATAATGTTGCTGTATGTTTGTATGACGAGGCAAAAAAGCACCAGTTTTCTTCCCGTTGTGGAATCGCTGATTCATTTATTTTTAAATCACTTTTGGCAGCTTCCACTCCACAGTACCTGCCAATTAGCTAAGTGCAATAATAGTCAAAACGTTTAATGGATTGGACTGGATTAAATGGCATTGGTAACAATAAGTCATATTTTTAATGTACTTTGGGATAACATTTGTGATTTGTGAGATTTTACTCCCAGTCTTGCAACATGAGTTGTTACTCTGCTTTTGCTAATTTGACAAATTTAGAATGTTGTTTCTAATCTTTTCACCTTTTTATTCATTAAATTGCACTGGTAGAAACTTTTCACCCTGAGTCGTACTGGTGTAACGCAGTCACACCTACAACCTCAACAAAGCACTGAGAACAGCATGTTCTTTGTAAAATCTTTATATTAGATTTGTCTGTTGATATTGTTCCTTCTTTGGGTTACAGATACTGTTTTATTAGACTGAGGGACTATTTATGAAAAAGAAAAAGCTTTTGCTAACTTGTTTATCTTTACATTCCTTTACCTTTACATTCAATATTCCAAAACTTTAATCCTTTCTACCAGCTGTGGGATAACTCCAGTGTTTTTCTGCACCATTCATTTAGTTATGGGGCGTCCTGCAAACTCTTGATGGTCAGTTTAATTATTTTTTTTTTTAAAAAGTGTAAGATAGTGGACCCGGCTGTGTCAGGTACTTGTACTTGTAAAAACAAGCCAAAACTCCAGGAACGTTCCTGACTGGTACGTTTGCTCATTGTGTTGTTTTATGGACCATCACAGGCCTTGCTTTGGACCTGAAACCTGCTCAACCATGGCACTATGATCTAATAAACTCCCAACTGTTTTATTGTTTTCTCTCAGATCTTCTGTCTTTTAACAGTCATACGTTGTTCTAGATCTTTCTACCCAGTTTTATCTACAGGATTCTGAGATCTTTGTGAAAATTTTCTGCCATTTTTCAAACAGGAAATATTTGATATAAGGTCCTCTGTTAATAGGACAGATTGTGATACTGATTGTTCTTGTTCCTCTGGGGGCCGGCTTGGTTTTCCATTTTGCGTGGCTGCTTTTAGCCAGGTTGCTATTTCTAACTGCTACTGTGAAACATATCTGTAAAGAAGTTAAGCTCTTGAACTCCCAGTTATTTCACTGCCTCATTAGAGACCAATAGGAGATTCTAAGAGCAATGGGAGATCAATGTATGTCATCACTCACAATTACAATAGGGTTGGGTAATTTAACACATGCTGTGTTGATCAGATGTAGACATTTTGAACAAGAAACTTGTTTTAGTGCCATCAGACACACAAAAATCCATTTCACATTACTTTCTATAAAAGTCTGTTTTTTTTGTTGTTTTTTTGTTTTTTTACATATTTGTTACAGCTGTCACCATGTCATGACACTATGGTGTGAGACAGATAATCTGTGGAAGAAAATGTAGCTCTTCCACCTCTTCACTGAACTACTATTGCCATCTGTAGAAATTCACAGTTCCCAATCAAAATCAACCAATCAGAGCTAGGAGGAGGGTCTTAGCGCTGTTAACCCTTTTACGCCAAAGTTTCAAGCGTCTGCCTAAATAAATCTTCCTTATTTTAATTGTAAGTAGTTCTTTAAATTTCCTGTGAGATGATATACTTATCCATGTATCGATAACAACTGGAACTTTCAATATCCAGCAAGTTATTTTCACAATATACCATCTATTAAAGGAGTGCCCCCCGGATTAATTACACTCTCTGCAGCTGCAGCTGTGAAGTTACCGTATTAACCCGATACTTGCTGGAAAGTGCAACGTCTCCCCTTTCAGAAACCGTTGGAATTTTTCAGATAGCGCTACGTGTGGCGGAATTAAGGTACTGCAAATTTAGATGTGTCCGGTATAGAAGGGTTAATCAACTTCGGGTATGCACTGATCAGTTGTGCTAATGGCAGAGAAACATCTTACCGTTACAGGAAACCATTTATGTGCTCTCATCAGTGGCTATGCTAATTAGGCTTGGCAATCATGGCAAAGGCTGTAGCATAGCAGAGAGCATTAGGGACGGTGTGAGCGCCATGTACACAAGCATGATCGACTGCGCTAAGACTCTCCTCTTGGCTCTGATTGGTTGCTGGTGTAT